GGGTGACCAGCCGCAACCCTAGACACCCACCCCCAACCATACTGAGGCCTTGGGAGGGTCGCACATAACAGACCACGGAGCTTCAGTTGCAGATAAAGCAACGTGGTTAGCGCCAAGCCAGCTGAACTGTTCACTGAGGTATTCTGTCCAGTGATCGAGTCGTTGATGTCCATTGTGAATAGCTTGCACCCTTTTATCGCAGGCTGTTTCACTAACTTGAGTTCGCCGATCTCCCGTATTCCGTATCAGTCGGAACAGTCTTTTACTATTCCCTGATGCGGCTGATTTTTCAGTAGCTATGGTAGCCCACCAGTTTTCTAGGTCCTTCTTGAGGCTCTTCGTGGGCTGACGTAGATGCCATCTGACTCTGTTTTGATCCTTGTAGGGCGGGATTTGTCGGTTCTCATCTATCGGGACTACTGACTCATGAGATATCCAATCTCTCCGATGGGCTGGAGGCTCAGACCCACAAGCAACATTCGCTGCGGATTGCATTGCTCGCCTAATCTAATCTCACTGGTCATCAACATTATCACGTTGAGGCGCGCTTAGCTCACGCATTAGCTCTGACTTCTAGCGTGCACGAACTGCTGGGACAGGCAGGCGGTGATGAGCCATACGAGTTTGCTGATTTTGTCGCGGGCCAGTCAATCGGAGTGAACTGTATCAAAACTAAACGAAAGTGGTCTTATATGTCCTGCAGTTTCGCACTGAGCCACGCCAACGGTAGCTTACTGCTATGTGGTCGATCTGAGTTAGCATACCTGTTGAACTGGAGCGCCACGTTACCCTCCGTCGAGAACTATGTCGGAAGGTGGTACTGGATAGGAACAGATGATGATATGCGCAGAACTGAAGAAGTCGATCGCCGTTATCTGTTCGTCGGCAGGGCAGAACACAACCTCCGCCTAGGTATGCTTCTGATGCGCTCAGTTTTCAAAGAGGAATAGCCCAGAAGTAACTAATTTACTGCGGTCACTGTACTCGCATACCTCTGGTCGAGTGTGGGTTTGGCGCGATCTAATTAAGCCGTTCCTCACCAGCTGCGGCCTTCATCAACGATGCCTTATTCCGACATTCTTCTTCAATTTCATCATGGACGAAATATTGGAGAATGCACTAAGTGTTCTCCAAAACATAGGTACTGAATGGGCTGCCGGAGAAAAACTGTAAGATTTACAGTACGCCGATGGCATCGTGTCTGTTCGAATGCACAGAGGACGCGCAAAGCATACTTGATAGACTGGCAAGTGCTGTTGCTACACTCGGTGTGTCTTGCATGTCCAAAGTGCAAAGCGATGTGCAGGACTGGATGTCGCATACTCCCGCTTTGAAACTAAATGTTGGATTACTTTTTCTGCTCAGGTAGTTGCGTGACCGATGACGGTAGTGTATCAAAGGAGAACCGCCCGCATTTCCAAGACTCGAGCAGCATATGCACCTTTGGCGTAGATGCGACATTTCACCGAAGTTGAAAGGTCTTCTAACTAATATTTTATGCATTGCGGGTTTGACAGCGAACAGTTAAGTTTGCTTCACTGTGTTACGCCGTACAATGATGACGGTACCACATTGTGAGCATAATATAGAAGTAATTCTGGAAGCTCGAACCAAGCTTTTACTTTGTGTACATTGATCGCTTGGCATAGATCAGCGAAGTTCACTTTTTGGTATCTCGCTGTACGGTGATGATGGAAGCTTGATTAACTGGTGCCATATTTAGTCCTGTACTATTTGATCTGATCTGATATTCAACCAGAGGTCCGAATAAGGGAAACCCAAATGACCGAAGTACTCCTTCGATAGTGAACCCAGTCAACTGCTTCTTTTACGTCAAGGAAAGTGCGATATACCTCGGTTTTTAAGTGAAGTGAGCTTTAGTAGTGAACCATCAACAAACCCAACGGGATGGAGGTTGAGTTGGAGGACGGTAAAGATGCAGAGTATCTCGAAGCGTAGCGATTCTACCACCGCACTTTGGATCGGATAAGTTTCTTCCTAGGAAGAGCTCCGTTCCAGTAGAACTGAGGGCAGGAAGTATTGTGTGGGATATTCTCTATGATTGCTGAGGGATAGAACCGCCCACTTAAACTCTGCAACAGATAATAGAAGGCGAAGGGCGCTCGCACTTCCGGATCCGCTTCATCATGTGACGGAAGAACCGTTTAAAGGAAATGTAAGTTGCTAGCAATCTATGTTTCAATAAGTTATTTTATGGCACATTCCTATCGGAAGCGACGGCCCCTTTAATGTTGGGATACACTATATTTGGTCTTTAGAACACACTGATAATCAAAAGTGAACCATTCCCCCTTTTAAATATACACACTGCAATGCTGTTAACATAAATGTTATGCAAGCTATCAAGCGATTCGTCACAGAGTACAACCGATTTATGGTCGTCAAAATAGTTAGTAGTATGCCTGAGTTCGTTCTAGACAGCACTGATGTGGGTCCTATAAACCGAAATGGGTAGCTTGGAAAAACGGAACAAAGCGACATTCGTAGTAAACAATCCATTTTTCAATGATAAGAGAACGAGCAAATAAATCTGGTAGGAAAGTAGGTGATTAATTTTGTTTAAGTCCGTAGGAACGAGATAGCTTTTTGTAAAAATTGGAAAATATGATCAAGTTAACGAAAATGACAATCGAAATACATAACAAGGATAAAACGAGCGATGGGCTGTGAGACAGCTGCCGAAGAATTTCTTGACGTTCTTGGAAATCAACTTTCAGAGCCCTATATTGGTTGAAAGCCCCAGATGCACCAAAAACATGAAAAATTTGGTGGCTATGTCCGAAAATGTCGAATTTGCCTGGAAAATACTTTTCGGGAAAATGCGAAACATATAACATTCCCGCTATGATAGCTGAACCGAACTCGAGCATCCAGTAGTACATGGATGCACATTCAGTGGATGAGTCGTTGTGTGGGAACCAATGTTCGCAATGAAGAGCACGCCAAATCACCGGGATGGCTAGATAAGCCCATAGTACCACAAATGCTCCGAGGCGAATGGTTTTTGTATAGAAGTTTGTAATCCAAAATCTCGTAGTGCATGATAGATGGGTGCTAATGATCGCCAAAAATACAGATATGAAAAGATAAACATCACATACATCAGCTCCAACATACGCCGATGGTCTCATGAGCTCTTTTGGTAGCGAATAGGCGTAGTAGCATACCGCTGAACCCGCCGAGTAAAGAGTTATACCTACATAGTCAAAAAAGAAACAAACATGACGAGCAATGGGTGACAAACAACTGAAAGTATGAGCACATGCACTAGTAAACAAAAACAGCACAGTTGTACAAAGGTAAATAAAAAGAAAGGGGTCCAACGAGTTGAAGGATGTTATGAGCTGATGAGTGAAATAGAATGCAGGTATTAGCTGAGTCCATATGTTAATGGTTTCGTTGTGCAATCTGAACAGAGAGATCAAACAAAGTTTGTATGATTTGCTGGGGAACCGATAACCGCTTAAAATCCCGGGTTCAATGAAGCCCTGATCAACTTCGGCGGCATTCAACACAAATAATTCACTCCGTGGACTAGCTGCTTCGGAAGCCTTATCGTCACATTTCATCAGAGGCGCCCGATTCATGCAGCAGTCCAACTCCGGTATTACAGATTGGATTTTTTGAAACATGTCTAGGCCATCAACGAACTAATGCTACTGCAGTGTTCAAGAACACTGGGTGAACGAGACACCCAGAACGCGCATTTGACTTGCGCGCCCTCAGTATTCAATCGAATTTCCGCGTACCTGTGCGATTCAATGTCCAATGTCCAATGTCCAGTTTACAGGCGGAGAAAGCTCGTTGGCTTGTAGTATTGCCTGTTTCTTGATCTATACGGTAAAGTCTGATGTTCGGAAATTTCTGTTTTTAATTCGTTTGTTCTTGTAATCTGAAAGTGTAAGCAAAAAGAAAAGAAAAGAAACAGGTTAGNAATTTATCTAGTTTTTGCTTGAAGCACGCTGTCGTAGGCGCAGAGACCACTTCCTCGGGTAATGAGTTCCAAGTGGATGTGGCCCGGATGGCGAAGTGCAGCCGTCTGCTGTTAGTTTAGATAGCTAACACTATCTACGATAACCAAACACGATTTACCTCAACAATCGAGT